CTCTGATGATTATTCATCACTTGGATGAATGCCCACATAGTCAAGGTAATTTATTCTTCTAAATATGATTTCCTTTATAGGTTTTTTAGCCTTAGGGCCAGGGTTTGGATCACTCATGTTTGTGTCTTTAGAATCTAGACCAGTTGAATAAGAAAAAATATTTTATGCAGTAAAAACATATTTTAAAGTAACTTCAAATATTTCCACATGTTTGTGTTAACCATTGGCTCATATTTTGGAAAACAAGCTCTAGGATTCATCCTCAACTTCTTGATTTCTCTTATATCCCACACCCAATACATCAGCAAATACTAGCTTTACCTCCAAATATATCCTAAATCCAGCACCAGCTTCATGGCATGCCACCTGTGCAGCCACACAAGGCCCAGAGCATAGAGGTTTCCCACACTTGGTTTGATGCTTTGCTGTCACTGTCTGAAAATTCTTACTAATTCTTGAACAAGGGGTTCTGCATTTTTGCTTTGCACCGGGCCCAATATATTACGTAGCTGGTCTTGCCCAAATTCAACCACTTCCTACTGCCTCAGTGCTACTACCCTGGTCCAGACCAAGATGACATCTTGTCTAGAATCATGTAACAGCCACCTAACTGGTCGCCCTGCAGTCAGTTCCCCTCATGAAAGCCAGAGTGAGGCTGTTAAACATAAATCAGGTCCTATCATCACATGCTCATGTAGCTTCTCATCACAGGTAAAATTAAGCCTGAACTCCTGACCATGGCCCACAAGCTGGACATGATCTGGCCAGGGGCTGTCTTTCCTTCCCTTCCACTTTCCTCTTCCTCTCTCCACTCTGTCTAGTCTGGTCTGACCTTCATGCTGTTCCTCAAACACCTGAGGTCATTTCCACCTCCAGGCCTATTCCTCCTATAGTTCCCTCTGCCGAGTGTGACCTGCCGCAGCATGGATCACTCCCTCCCTTTACCCTCATCCCCTCAGAGAAAGCTACCCTGACCACATCACAGTCCTTAAACCCCTTGCCTAGATTTACTTTTCTTCAAAGTACATATCTCCACCTGAAATCACTACCTATTCATTTGTTTACTTGTTTACAGTCTCCCACACAAGTATTTGAGCTCTATGGAAAAAGCAACGCTGTTTTTTCTCGCTGCACTATCCCCAGTGCATAAAACAGTGCCTATCATAATGTAGCCATTAGGTAAATATGAGCTAAAAAATCATAATAAAAGAGTGAATGGATGGGTGATTGAATGAGTGAATGTAACGAAGAAAAAATAGTCAATGGCATAGACAATTACTTCACTAAACATTTGCTGAAAGTTCAAAGTAGAATATTGTATTTAGTAACACAAGATCTCACATGTGTATTCTAAAAAAAATAAGGTTCCCATAGAGTAGAATAATGGTTATCAGAGGACAGCAAAAGAAGAGAAGGGGGGAGAGGAAAAAATATGGATTCGTGGTTACAAAGTTATAGGCAGAAAGAATAAATTCTGGTGTTCTAGGCTGACTAAAGCTAATAATATTCTACAGTATGTTCCTAAATAGCTAGAAAAGAGGATCTTTACCATAATCACCACAAAGAGAAGATAAATATTTAGGTAATGGATATGCTCTCTACAATAAGTTAATTATTGTGCAATACACACATGTATTGAAACAACGCAATGTACCCCACAAATGTGTACAATTAAAAATAATTTAAAAAGGAAAACTGTACTTAAAATACCCTTCAACTTAAAATATAACGGAGAACAATGGTTTTAACCAACGCTAAGATGGATGCTTAAAGATTTTTCTTCCTATTACAGCTTTAAAGAAAGTGTTCGCTGAAAATAGAGACATTCAGAAATTGGCAGAGCAGTTTGTCCTCCTTAATCTGGTTGTAAGTTTACTTTTTATCATCACTAACATTTCCCCAAAACTCATTATTTGAAAAGGATGATTCACTTTTCATATACATCTCAGTCATACCGCATTAACTGGGATCTCTTCCAACCAGCCCATCTCATAGATTGTAGAAAATGAAAAGATTTCATTTTATTAATAATCTACCTGACATGTCTATCTATTTTTATTTAGTAATTAATCATCTTAGGTTGTCTAAAACATACTCTCCTGTGGTCAGGGTTTTCCCTGTTGCTGTAACAACTGGAAGGTTTCTGTATTTTGCAAATTATTTCCAGTGCCCGTCCCCCTACAGTCCCGGCTTCTTTACACCTATTCTTAATCCTTGTCTCCTCCCTCCCTGGAAGAGATGGCTCTCTGACATGCGTCTAATCATGCTTCCAGCTTTAGCTTCGTGCAGTTCCATCTTACTTCTCCATCACCACCCCTCCCGAGGGTCAAGCTTTCTGTCTTTGCAAGATCTTTCCACTCAGCATACAAATGTTTTCCATACTGCTTCTAAAAGCAAGCAAACAAAGAATGACTCTACCTAACCATATGTCCCCTTGAGCTGCTCTCTCTCCCATTCCCTAGATTGGCCTCTTCAAAGAGCAATGTATACCAGTAGTTCTTCCTCGCCTCCCTTCCATAGGTTCCACTTCCTCTTCCTCTTCCCACTCCTTGATGTTAGTGACTTGGTGAATCTCTCCTTGACCCACTTGTCTTTTCATATTTTATATTCTCTATGGACGATTTCATCAACACCTACCTTTCATCAATTCTTACACACCGATAATTCCTACATCTTACCCAAACATGCAACAACTTCCAACTTGTCTATCCAACCATGTTCCAGATAGCTCATAATTACCTTAAACCTAACATGTGGCACACTGAGCTAATCATCTTGGTTCAGGCTTTTCAAATAGCTCAACTTTCTCTATTTCCTACTTCACTGAAAGTGGTGCTATTCCCGACTGGGCTCCCCTACTCACCTATAGCAGTCAAGAAGCTCTGTGCTTTTAAATTTTAAGTATTCCTGCTATTTGTCACTTCTCTATAAACTCAGGACCACTGTTTCACTGTAAGACTTTTTCACTTTGCCTAACTTACTGCAGTGTTACTAAATGGCTCCCGGCCTACAAGATAAACTCCATCTATCCCACATGGCTGTCAGGGTGATTGCTGTAAAGATCAAGCTGGGATCATGGAACCTCTTCTATCCTCCCTCCAGTGGTTCTCAACTATTTCTGAATAAATGACAACGCTGTGACATGGTGTGCAGGGCCATTCACGAGCTGGCCCCTGAGGTGGCTCTTGCATCTTCTCTCACCACTGCGCTCATGCACCCCCGTCCTTCAGTCCTTCCTGCAATGCCCTTCCTCTCCATACTTTTGCACAGGCTCTTCCCCCTGCATGGCATGACCTTCTTTTCCTCGTAACTGATGCCTATTCACTGTTCAAGATTCCTCCGTCCCCACTTCACAAAGTCCTAGTGAAACCTGCAAACTGGATAAATGTCCTTCATCATGACATTTCACCCACTGGATCCTCAATATTTATTTTCCTACCTGTACCTCTCAATAGACTGTGCATTCATTAAAGATAAGCACTGTGTCTTGCTAAATAAATAAAATTCTAAATAAAAATTGATAAATAGATGGATGCTCAAGAAAATCCTGTCTGTTTCTGTAATTTCCCAAAAAAATGACTTCTGCTTGTTTTGTTAATCTCCTCCTGCCTCATCTGAGATGTCTTCTCTGAACACTGTGACTCCTTCCGAATTCCCCCTTCTAGAACTTTTTTGCTCTTTGTGCACTGCATCCGCCCAGCTCTTTACCTGGTGTTCTGCATACCTTCTGCTCTTATTATTTCATGCATATAATTTGTCTTCCCATCTATATTATAAACTCTTTGTGGCATCAATGTGCCTTATAATATCTCAAGGTAACTGGGCCAGTAATGGGCACAAGTTAAGAAATTTGAAAATAATTGAAGAGTAAACAAACTAAAAGTTGCCTTTCTTTTTTAATCTTAGTATGAAACAACTGACAAACACCTTTCTCCTGATGGCCAGTATGTCCCCAGAATTCTGTTTGTTGGTAAGTGAAAGTGACAGTGAGATGAATCTCACTCTGAAGATTATACAACTGCCATCACATCCCTCCCTCTGTCCTCCACACCCTCAACTGGCCACTTTCCCATGGCCAATGTCATGACCAAGCTCTAGCGAGTATATGCGGTATGACACTCCTTTAAGTTTCACAACATATTTTCATTAGAAAAATGTGAACTTCTGCCTATTTCCACATATGACTTTTTTTCTCATCTGCTAATTTTAACTTTTCATTTTCCACCACAAATATATTTGAGCAGAAAATACCTATTAACTGTTTACATGTATTGATAATTTTCCTGAATACATCAGGCCTGTAAATATTTATCTTTTAATCATACAAACTTTAATTTTTGTGTTTTTCTTTCTGACACTTTTGGTAATTATTTTTAGGAAAGTTAGGAATATGGGCTAGGAAAAAAAAAATCGGAGGAGCCATGCTCCTTCCTGCCACTGGTACTCTTCATATGCTCTTCCCTCTGCTGGAAAGCTTTTCCGGCTTCCTCCTCTACCCCCAATGAATCCTAATTAATTACCCTATTATCACTGTCATTAACCCACCTGGGCAAATCCCCACTCTGTGCCTTTTCAGCAACGTGTTTCTCAAATTGGTAACACTTTCCTCAGTTTTAATTTTGCGTTTATTGAGTGATTATTTAATAAATATATTCCCACACAGGACTATAAAGCCCAAGTGGCAGGGCCTGTATCTGTTTCCGCTCACCAACATATTCCCAGCATGACTCTGTGTTGGGCTATCAATAAATATTAGTTGCATTATTAAATAAATGTATTGAGTTTGGCTTTGTTCAAAGTCATACTGATTTAAGGACAATCCATAGTTAAATCTGTCACATGGCAGAGCTCACTCTAATCAAGTGGTTCACCTTTGTAATTCAAAGTTTACATTAAATGTATAAAACAGAGGAAAGAAAAACAAGTGATAGGAAAAAAAAGGAGGAAGGCTGAACTAGAGCATCAGAATTTAGAACATTTAGAATCCTGACATTGAAAGGGAATTTGTAGGTCACCCAGTCATACCTTTTGCAGGAGTTCTTTGTACAGTATCCCTGTCTGAGGGTATTTTAGTCCATGTTCATCCGTCATAGGAAACAAGTCTGAGGCAGCTCGCTCGTCCGGCTCTATAGTTCTCCACGCTGGCTGCTTATTAGTCACCTGGAGGATTTTAGCAATCACGACACCCAGGCCACAACTCAAACCAATTAAATCATTATCTCTGGGGGTGGGACCTGGGCATCTGCAATTTTTAAAGCTTTTTAGGTGATTTCAGTGTGCAGCTAGGGCTGTGACCCACCGGCTGGGTGTTTAAGAAGCCTTTCTTATGTTGTTTATTACAAAGATTAGACCACGTCTTTGCATTCTCTACACCGAGCAGAAGTACAGTTGAACAAATGAATGTCTGCTTCTTGTAATTTGCCTCTGTTGGTCTTAGTTCAACTTTCTGAAATGACAGAGATTGTCCACTCCCGTACCAGCGACAGACGCAAACATGCAGATAGCTCTCACATACCTTCTCCATCCAGTTTTCAGGACACGTGCCTTAGGCTCTTGCAATCACCTCTTTCAAGGCAAGGTTTGCAGACCTCTCTTTATCCTACTACTCCCCTTTCGGGTGCATCTTATTTTTAAAATACCATGAATTAGATGACTTGAAGCTAAATATAAAACATGGCAAAATAGATTTAAACTGAAAGGAATATACATATACCTAAGAGAAGACTCAAATTTCTATTTTAAAAATGCAGCTAATTAACAACATAATGAAAAATAGTGAGGGGCACTATATGCTTATTTGACCTTTGCTGTTCTTAAGGGCTTGCCTTCTTTTATTCATCAAAAAAAAAAAAAAAAATTGAAAACCAGCATTGTATGTGGGTTTCTAATTACCTAGGTTGAATTCTTGATAAAACATATCAACTACAACATAATCATTTCAAAAGTTTACAATAATTTTATAATATAGAATGCTGATGTTTTCACCAAAACAAACAAACAAAAAAACACCACCAGCAAAATATATATTATTCTGTTTTCAGGGGACTATAGATAGGATGATGGGGTCCATAACTTTTCCTACAAATAACACAGCACGGCTGCCGAATGCTCCTTGCCCTGCATTGGCGACTGACTGCCACAGGCTGGGGAGCAGAGTAGATGGAGCAGAGCTGGACCCCTCGGGACACACACTGTGTTCCTTCTCAGGGCATGGATGCATAGGCTTCCTTAGGCAATAGAGGTTACTTGAAATCAAAGCATTTCATTCCCTTTTTCTTTACCTTTGTAGACCCATCCCTGACTGTTAGAGCCGACATCACTGGAAGATACTCAAATCGTCTTTATGCTTATGAACCTTCAGATGCATCTCTACGTAAGTGTGACCTTCAAATTAGAGATGTCCAAGTGTTGAGCATCTCTGTTGCTATAGTGATGGGAGCAGAGGGCTCTGCTTAGGGATGTCAGACAATCAGTGTGACTCTAATTAACCTTGTGTCCTCAGACAGATCACACTCTCTTTCCATCTCGGTATTTTTTTAAAATCCCAACTAAAGATAAATTATTTAGGTTAGGTATCATTTTCTCTTGGAGGATTCTATGACCACATTATCTGCTTTTCAGTTAGGCACACTAACAGCTCCTATCAGAGAACTGAATGTAATTGTTGTAAAAATCTGCATGCTTTAATTTTTTTTTCCACAAACGAAAGTGAAATAATTTAGTCCAGCATGCTGAAGTTGAATTCACGTTNAACTTCCAACTTGTCTATCCAACCATGTTCCAGATAGCTCATAATTACCTTAAACCTAACATGTGGCACACTGAGCTAATCATCTTGGTTCAGGCTTTTCAAATAGCTCAACTTTCTCTATTTCCTACTTCACTGAAAGTGGTGCTATTCCCGACTGGGCTCCCCTACTCACCTATAGCAGTCAAGAAGCTCTGTGCTTTTAAATTTTAAGTATTCCTGCTATTTGTCACTTCTCTATAAACTCAGGACCACTGTTTCACTGCAAGACTTTTTCACTTTGCCTAACTTACTGCAGTGTTACTAAATGGCTCCCGGCCTACAAGATAAACTCCATCTAATCCCACGTGGCTGTCAGGGTGATTGCTGTAAAGATCAGGCTGGGATCATGGAACCTCTTCTATCATCCCTCCAGTGGTTCTTAACTATTTCTGAATAAATGACAACGCTGTGACATGGTGTGCAGGGCCATTCACGAGCTGGCCCCTGAGGTGGCTCTTGCATCTTCTCTCACCACTGCGCTCATGCACCCCCGTCCTTCAGTCCTTCCTGCAATGCCCTTCCTCTCCATACTTTTGCACAGGCTCTTCCCCCTGCATGGCATGACCTTCTTTTCCTCGTAACTGATGCCTATTCACTGTTCAAGATTCCTCCGTCCCCACTTCACAAAGTCCTAGTGAAACCTGCAAACTGGATAAATGTCCTTCATCATGACATTTCACCCACTGGATCCTCAATATTTATTTTCCTACCTGTACCTCTCAATAGACTGTGCATTCATTAAAGATAAGCACTGTGTCTTGCTAAATAAATAAAATTCTAAATAAAAATTGATAAATAGATGGATGCTCAAGAAAATCCTGTCTGTTTCTGTAATTTCCCAAAAAAATGACTTCTGCTTGTTTTGTTAATCTCCTCCTGCCTCATCTGAGATGTCTTCTCTGAACACTGTGACTCCTTCCGAATTCCCCCTTCTAGAACTTTTTTGCTCTTTGTGCACTGCATCCGCCCAGCTCTTTACCTGTTGTTTTGTTAATCTCCTCCTGCCTCATCTGAGATGTCTTCTCTGAACACTGTGACTCCTTCTGAATTCCCCCTTCTAGAACTTTTTTGCTCTTTGTGCACTGCATCCGCCCAGCTCTTTACCTGGTGTTCTGCATACCTTCTGCTCTTATTATTTCATGCATATAATTTGTCTTCCCATCTATATTATAAACTCTTTGTGGCATCAATGTGCCTTATAATATCTCAAGGTAACTGGGCCAGTAATGGGCACAAGTTAAGAAATTTGAAAATAATTGAAGAGTAAACAAACTAAAAGTTGCCTTTCTTTTTTAATCTTAGTATGAAACAACTGACAAACACCTTTCTCCTGATGGCCAGTATGTCCCCAGAATTCTGTTTGTTGGTAAGTGAAAGTGACAGTGAGATGAATCTCACTCTGAAGATTATACAACTGCCATCACATCCCTCCCTCTGTCCTCCACACCCTCAACTGCCACTTTCCCGTGGCCAATGTCATTACCAAGCTCTAGCGAGTATATGCGGTATGACACTCCTTTAAGTTTCACAACATATTTTCATTAGAAAAATGTGAACTTCTGCCTATTTCCACATATGACTTTTTTTCTCATCTGCTAATTTTAACTTTTCATTTTCCACCACAAATATATTTGAGCAGAAAATACCTATTAACTGTTTACATGTATTGATAATTTTCCTGAATACATCAGGCCTGTAAATATTTATCTTTTAATCATACAAACTTTAATTTTTGTGTTTTTCTTTCTGACACTTTTGGTAATTATTTTTAGGAAAGTTAGGAATATGGGCTAGGAAAAAAAAAATCGGAGGAGCCATGCTCCTTCCTGCCACTGGTACTCTTCATATGCTCTTCCCTCTGCTGGAAAGCTTTTCCGGCTTCCTCCTCTACCCCCAATGAATCCTAATTAATTACCCTATTATCACTGTCATTAACCCACCTGGGCAAATCCCCACTCTGTGCCTTTTCAGCAACGTGTTTCTCAAATTGGTAACACTTTCCTCAGTTTTAATTTTGCGTTTATTGAGTGATTATTTAATAAATATATTCCCACACAGGACTATAAAGCCCAAGTGGCAGGGCCTGTATCTGTTTCCGCTCACCAACATATTCCCAGCATGACTCTGTGTTGGGCTATCAATAAATATTAGTTGCATTATTAAATAAATGTATTGAGTTTGGCTTTGTTCAAAGTCATACTGATTTAAGGACAATCCATAGTTAAATCTGTCACATGGCAGAGCTCACTCTAATCAAGTGGTTCACCTTTGTAATTCAAAGTTTACATTAAATGTATAAAACAGAGGAAAGAAAAACAAGTGATAGGAAAAAAAAGGAGGAAGGCTGAACTAGAGCATCAGAATTTAGAACATTTAGAATCCTGACATTGAAAGGGAATTTGTAGGTCACCCAGTCATACCTTTTGCAGGAGTTCTTTGTACAGTATCCCTGTCTGAGGGTATTTTAGTCCATGTTCATCCGTCATAGGAAACAAGTCTGAGGCAGCTCGCTCGTCCGGCTCTATAGTTCTCCACGCTGGCTGCTTATTAGTCACCTGGAGGATTTTAGCAATCACGACACCCAGGCCACAACTCAAACCAATTAAATCATTATCTCTGGGGGTGGGACCTGGGCATCTGCAATTTTTAAAGCTTTTTAGGTGATTTCAGTGTGCAGCTAGGGCTGTGACCCACCGGCTGGGTGTTTAAGAAGCCTTTCTTATGTTGTTTATTACAAAGATTAGACCACGTCTTTGCATTCTCTACACCGAGCAGAAGTACAGTTGAACAAATGAATGTCTGCTTCTTGTAATTTGCCTCTGTTGGTCTTAGTTCAACTTTCTGAAATGACAGAGATTGTCCACTCCCGTACCAGCGACAGACGCAAACATGCAGATAGCTCTCACATACCTTCTCCATCCAGTTTTCAGGACACGTGCCTTAGGCTCTTGCAATCACCTCTTTCAAGGCAAGGTTTGCAGACCTCTCTTTATCCTACTACTCCCCTTTCGGGTGCATCTTATTTTTAAAATACCATGAATTAGATGACTTGAAGCTAAATATAAAACATGGCAAAATAGATTTAAACTGAAAGGAATATACATATACCTAAGAGAAGACTCAAATTTCTATTTTAAAAATGCAGCTAATTAACAACATAATGAAAAATAGTGAGGGGCACTATATGCTTATTTGACCTTTGCTGTTCTTAAGGGCTTGCCTTCTTTTATTCATCAAAAAAAAAAAAAAAAATTGAAAACCAGCATTGTATGTGGGTTTCTAATTACCTAGGTTGAATTCTTGATAAAACATATCAACTACAACATAATCATTTCAAAAGTTTACAATAATTTTATAATATAGAATGCTGATGTTTTCACCAAAACAAACAAACAAACAAACAAAAAACACCACCAGCAAAATATATATTATTCTGTTTTCAGGGGACTATAGATAGGATGATGGGGTCCATAACTTTTCCTACAAATAACACAGCACGGCTGCCGAATGCTCCTTGCCCTGCATTGGCGACTGACTGCCACAGGCTGGGGAGCAGAGTAGATGGAGCAGAGCTGGACCCCTCGGGACACACACTGTGTTCCTTCTCAGGGCATGGATGCATAGGCTTCCTCAGGCAATAGAGGTTACTTGAAATCAAAGCATTTCATTCCCTTTTTCTTTACCTTTGCAGACCCATCCCTGACTGTTAGAGCCGACATCACTGGAAGATACTCAAATCGTCTTTATGCTTATGAACCTTCAGATGCATCTCTACGTAAGTGTGACCTTCAAATTAGAGATGTCCAAGTGTTGAGCATCTCTGTTGCTATAGTGATGGGAGCAGAGGGCTCTGCTTAGGGATGTCAGACAATCAGTGTGACTCTAATTAACCTTGTGTCCTCAGACAGATCACACTCTCTTTCCATCTCGGTATTTTTTTAAAATCCCAACTAAAGATAAATTATTTAGGTTAGGTATCATTTTCTCTTGGAGGATTCTATGACCACATTATCTGCTTTTCAGTTAGGCACACTAACAGCTCCTATCAGAGAACTGAATGTAATTGTTGTAAAAATCTGCATGCTTTAATCCCAACTAAAGATAAATTATTTAGGTTAGGTATCATTTTCTCTTGGAGGATTCTATGACCACGTTATCTGCTTTTCAGTTAGGCACACTAACAGCTCCTATCAGAGAACTGAATGTAATTGTTGTAAAAATCTGCATACTTTAATTTTTTTTCCACAAACGAAAGTGAAATAATTTAGTCCAGCATGCTGAAGTTGAATTCACGTTCAATTTAAGGCTCAGTAGGAAAAAGATGATCCAAATAGTTGCCAAGATGATCCAAATAGTTCCCTGTGGTTGCCATAAATGAAAGGGAAAATAAGAGAGAGACTTAAGGCAGATGAGGTTCCTAAATGAGAGGCTGAACCTAGCCATGACATCTGATTAGTTCTTCTGGGAAGAAAATTTGGTTTTATCCTAGGAACCAATTCTGATCACTTAGTTGTGGCTGCCTAGAACTACACCATCCAATATGTTAGCCATTAGCTACATGTTGCTATTTAATTCTAAATTAAGATAATTCAGTTCTTCAGTCACACTAGCCACATTCCAAGTACTCAATGCACAGACACTGAATATTTTTATCAGCACAGAAATTTCTACCAGACAGCACTGACTTAGAACATTATGTTGGGAAGGAGTGTGAGGTTATGTCTGGGCAGTAGGAAAGATCATCATAGTCCATTAGCAACATCTCTAATGGATGCTGGGAGGACCAGAGGAAGCACATTCCAAGTACTGGCCATTCTTGAGATAATAGACAACATATATGTATCTTAAGTCTGAGCTTTTGAAAGGCAGGTATCCTAAAAAGGTAATGTCATAGTGTCTTGTAGAACAGGCATTTAATATTTGTAGGAGTGATAAGCAGCTGCTTGGTGCCTGTCATGTGCACATCTTATTTTAGTAGAGCACATATCTCATTTTCATGAATTGCTGCTGAAGCAACAGTGATCTAGAGTCTGGGCTCTGGAGCAGCAGCTCCATCACTTGTTAACTGTGTGACCGTTAGCAAGTTACTCAGCCTCTCTGTGCCTGTTTCATCATCTAAAAATGAAGTACAAATAGTTTTTGTGAGAATTAAAGGAATTGATGTGTGTAAAACACTTGACTTGCTTTTATTTTTCATTTATTCCACCTATTTCTTAAACAATTTGCAATAGCTGCACATACCTATTAACACACTTCTTAAGAACATGATTTAAAATTTACTTCTAAATTAGCCAAAATTATTTTCTGCTGATGGAGCTTATGAAGGGATTCTTTTGTAACTGGGAGTTGGAGAGGGAAGATCCGAGAAGGAATGAATACACTAGAGAACTGGATTATCATAAAAGCCTTTTCACGTAATTTTAGAAAAAAATTTACAATAAGATTACAACTATTCACCCTAGGATTAAAAAGCACCCCATTAAATGATGAACAGAGTACCATAATTAGGGGGCTTATTATATCTATTAATGTAATTTCTGATGGTGTCTTGACTCTCCTTATTTTTTTCCCCCATTAGTGCTTGACAACATGAGGAAAGCTCTCAAGCTGCTGAAGACAGAACTGTAGAGAAAAAACACAACCTACAAGCTCTTCCCTCTGTGTTAGGTCTTCAGACTTGGAACCAGAGGAGATTTTAGAAGACCGGAGAACGCAGAAGCACTGATGGGCGTACTGAGTAGATTGTAGTTTAATGTTACAACAGCTACTTTTTAAAAAATGTTGTTTCATGTACACATGTATGAAAACAATACTGTATACTACCATAGTGAGCCATGATTTTCTAAAAAATAAATCCTTTTGAGGGTGTTCAAACTGCAGTTTTGTTTTGTTTTTTCCCAACTTGATCTTTCACAGAAAAACTGTCTGGTTCATTCACCAAATAGGACTAATGGACACACACAAAATGTTCTACGAGGGGACAAGACAGAACTAGTTCAAACAATGAAGACCAAAGACAAAGTTCTCACGATCACTCACTCAGCACACCACAGGTTCTCACTGAGACTAAAAGCAGGCACGAGCTTCACATCGACAGAAGTATCAAACAGCACACGCTTTAGTGTGAAAGAAGATGTGGAAAGGCACCTCAAGAAAATCAGCTGCCTACTTAGAGAAAACCCTCCCCACCCAGACCAGAAACTCCCAGGCACACACTTTAAAATTTAGCAATTCAGATTTTAATCAGATTTTGCCCAACTTAATGCTGTGTCTGGGAAAGCCTCTGGCAGGTAGCTTTCTCCTTCAGAAGACTCATTTCAGTGAAAATTTCATGCAGGAACCTCTACACCCCTGAGCACACCCTAAAGAAATCCTGAGAATTGGTCCTGTAATAGATTTGGTCTCTCAAGGTTCTAGAATGCTGACCTGGATAAATTCAGTTTGAATTGCTCCCATCTCCTTTTCCAACATGTGATTAACTGGGGGAAGAGTGAAGGGCATTGAGCCATATTACATCTTCGAGGTAGAGACCAGAGGTCACTACTCTTTGGAAAAGGTTGTCAGAGGGTGCGGCGTCAGGTAGGGGAGCAGCTTTAGCTACCTTTAAGTCTATATTCAGCCTAACAAAAATAAGAACTGTGTATTAATTTCTTCACTACATATTTAATTTCATATTTATTACTGTATGAAATTCCTCTACTACCCAGATCCCACTGACTTCTTCAGCTCCTGGACTGTGATGGTCTATACAATGCTTTCCGTATTGATTATCTGCTGCTTGTCCTGATTAACTTTTTTAGAAAGATCCTTTGGCATCATTAATTTTTCCAGGGTAGATAATATATTTTCAATGCTTTTCTGTCTCTTACAGTAACTACTATCATCATAGGTGCTGAGCATATATTGTTGATTTAATGATATACAAATCCTTGGCAAAAGTATCACAGGGGAATCAGTTTCCTTCTCATAAATAGGTAAACTACATGTGCTGGAAACAGTAAAACACTCCACTTAGCTTTCTGAGGGATACTAGGGGGAGAAGAGAGGTTTCACTTCAATAAACTAATATTTTGAATGACAACTTCTAAGCAGTTCAAGCTTCTTCTACAATACAGCAAAACAATGTTTATTTTTTCACTGCGCTTATAAGAAATAAGATTGTTGGGTTCTTAAGATTTATTGAACTGACAAGATGTTATCTTAACACAAATAAATGATTTTTTAAATATAAATCTTTAGGAAATTAAATATCACTGTTGTAGGGATAATGAGTCCCCCCTGGAAAAGTATTACAGAAACACAGTAGAGTCGTAAAATACACTGACTGACTTTGACCCAGCCTCCTCTGCTTTTGAGAATTCATCCTCAGGAAGTCACTCAAGAGAAACAGAGTTCTATGAAAATGCCAATAGCAACATTATTTAAACATACAAAAAATAGCACCCTCCAAATATAATGGTTACATAGTATATTAACACAAAATGCCCTATGTTGTCATCTATAAAAGTAATCAACATTGAGAAACAGAAACGGCCTAAATTCTAAATTTAAGAATTTCTGTGCTGTGACTGCACTACAGAACATGTACGTACAAGGTTAAAAATAGAACTGAAGATGCAAATGTGAAAACACTTGTTTTAAGCTCATGGAAATATTAGCAATGCTTGTTCTTTCTACCAAATCCCTCTACTGTCATCTCACAAACTTTCATTTGTGTTTAAAGTTCAAGTGAAAGCCTATCTTGACTATTTCTCTGACTGCAGAAAAGTAGAAGAGTACAATAAGACTAGAGAATAGTATTTCAAACCACTGAATAAAAATGCTGGTAACATAATGGGAAGGTAAAATGGTGCAGCCATTGTGGAAAACAACAGTGTTTCCTCAAAACATTAAACATAGATTTACCATACAATCCAGTAATTCCACTTCTGGTTATATAACCAAAAGAACCGAAAGCAGGGACCAGATATTTGTACCCCCATGATCATAGCAGCATTATTCACAGTAGCTAAAGGTGGAAGCAACCCAAGTGTCCAGCAACAAAATGAATGGGTAGACAAAAGGTGGAGTAAAGGAAATCCTGGCATATAAACAACACGGATGGACCTTGCAGGTTTTGTGCTAAGTGAAATCAGCCAGCCACAAAAGGACAAATACTATATGATGCCACTTATGAGGTACCTAGATTAAGTAGTCTTCATAGAAAATGTACTAGTGGTTGCCAGGGACTGGAGAAAGGCGGAGTAAGGAGTTATTTAAGGGGTGTAGAGTTTCAGTTTGGAAAAATAAAATGTTCTGAAAACAAATGCTGGTGATGGTTGCATAATAATGTGAATATACTTAATGCCACTTAACTGTACACTTGAAAATGGTTAAAATAACCAATTTTATGCTATATATATTTCACCACAATAAAAGAATTTTTTCTCAGTTTTATGTGAGGTCCTATAGCTTGGTGGGGGTGGGGGGGACGAATCAACTTTAAAAAAATGTTGGTAATATAAACCATCTTAAATGCCATTTACACAATCAACACTCCTGATTAAACCATTTTTTTTTTTACCTATTTTAGAACTAGTCTTCATTAAATGATCATCTATGACTATCTACCTGTTTTGTTTTTTTTCTTGCAGCCAGGAATTCTAAGTAGCTACTGAGGACCTTCTATTTAGCGATCGCTGGTGAGAATGGGAGCCAAAGACAAAACAGAAAAAGCTCTAAGGCAAGGAGAGAACTTGTCAAGGAGCTAGACTTCAAAGTCCAAGCCAAGTCAGCTTGACTCATTAAAAGGCCACTTGTCAAGTTAGGACCTCAACTCCCTGTAAAAAGCAGGATCCTGAAAGTAAAAGTGATTGCACCCTCCAAGTGACGTCAAAGTCCATTCTTTGACATACATATTTTTAACTCACAGGCAACTCCCTCAAGCCCTCATTTGAAAATGAATTCCCAAAGCTGGTTTTCCTAAAGAGAGTTATGAGAAGTGGCTTGGCACATGTTAGGGGAGTCCAATTGTCCTTTCCCATTGTCTTAAGAGGTATTTCAATGACTACAATTGCCCAGTTGAGATATGACATTCAATAAAAACTTCAGTGTGAGGACCTCTATCTTCCCTCTTTCTCTCTGGTGGGGTGGAGGTATGGGGTAAAGAAATAATGTAGTTTCATTTGGCATAGACTGCCTGGTGTAGAAGTTCTCTGTTAACTCCAAACATACCAAGTACAGAGCAACAACTTTACACAAAAATCTCCTCACTTATCCAGAAATCTGAGAAAGTTAGTCTTTAACTTTGTCATCCTAATAAAACAATTCACATATGAATAACTATTCATAAAATTGCAATGTATACAAGTGCTTTTCTCCTATAAAATACTCTGTAGAAATGTGATTCTAACTTCCTCAGCTTAAAAGTGAAATCGTTTCATGTATTTAGTGTATTTTCAAAAAAAAGAATAAACTTAAGGTTAGATAAATATTTAGAAAAACTTGGCTCTAGGAAACTAAGAACTAAAAGCCACACCACTGGTTTCCTTTCCCTCTCTGAAAGGCTCCATTCAGCAGCAAATTACTTCAGTTGAACATGCAAAACTGGTTTTCATACCGAACACGTTGTTGCTTAGGTGACAGAGTATCTGAGACAAATTTAAGCCACAATGAGCTCAGATTTTAGAAATTATAACCCCACCTTTTTACCTTTGTATTAGAATTATATTCTCTAGCTAAAATTTCACCTTTAACATAAAGGTTGACTGGGCAAATGTTCCAAAGAACATTCCTCCAAATGAAATATGTAAACAGGAAAAAGAGATTTTTTTTTTTTTAAGTAGTATGGTTCCTTTTAAAAGAAATGCTAGGTTTGGAAGAGAGGAGATCTAGGGTCTTGGTTTGCCTTTCAGCCATTGGTTGTAATTTGGGGACAGGTCCTGACCTGAAACTCACGTCCTCTGATGCCACGTTTGTGGCAGCATTTCTGTGCACGCAGGCAGTGGCCCTCCTGTAGTCCTGGGATCAGCCTGACCTCTTCAGACTCATAGCAGGGCCATTTGGGATTCAGTATGAGCCTATTCAAGAGGACTTTCGAGTAGATATTATGATACATTAGGGAATGGGGGCTATATCTCTGCACCTAGACACAAAGATCACATGAAATGTCATAGAAGAGTCTGGGTAATCTTTCCTCTTCAGATCTGCCTGAGAGAATTGAAAGCCTAGATTAATTAACTTGGTGCTTAAAAATGTGTATTCCTGGAGTGGCTTATCATCAGTTATTACCCATTCTTATAATCCTATAATTCAGTGGCCCTAAAAATTCATCCTTACCAGACCCTGATTTTTCATGAACTCATCTTATTAAAATCTTAACATCCTCTTAGGTAATAGCTTTATATCTTTGTTTTATTCAGTAGTTTAGATACAAATATTTTTTCTTAGCCATAAAGATTTAATGTCCTAATTTAATTAACTTAATTTCATGAAGCTTGAGTAGGATTAAATGAATTTGTTAGCATCAGGCTACTTTCAAAAGTGTGTTTAGATTTCTGATAGCTGATACCCTGATAGCTGTTCTCTTTGCACTCTGCTTTTCAAGTAATACACTTGAGGCAAGGTGACATCAATCAAGACATATATGAACAGAAAAGAGAGCTCTCTGTGAATTTCCAGGATGCATCACTTAACTTCAGATGATGCATAAAACAAACTGGGTTGACCCAAATCAGGCCATTGCAAATAGAGCACAAAGCAAGGTATGGGATGGTTCTCTATGGAATAGCCCTTTCCACATATAATCATTTGTACCAAGAAAAATATCACATTAGGAGATCCCAGAAACTTATGGGAATTCCAAAATGTAACAAAACAAACAAGGAAAACACAAAATGCCTTACAGGAAGACAGAATTCAAAAATCTCCCTTCATGTGTCACTTACAATCTCATCTTATGGTACAAGTGGGAACACTGTTAGGACTGTCATGAAGCTCAACATGACATTATGGGAATGGCACAACTTTGTTTTCCTGGAAGATTAGCAACTGTCACAGAGTCATGGAAGTGACCTACCTAACAAAATGCTCTAGAATTCAACAGATCAACAATTTGCCCTCTTTCTTGGTTTAAAACCTATCAAGACAATTACTGATAGAATCCACATGCCACCTAGGACAAGAAATAGTAATTTTTGGTAATGGTAAATAACTTATATATTTTTCCCAAGTAAATATGTATGACTTCTCTTAAAAAACCTTTCTTGGGAACCCTCCCACACGGTTGTTGGGACTGTAAATTGGTGCAGCCATTAAGGAAAACATTATGGAGGTTTCTCGAATAACTACAGATAGAACTGCCCTATGATCCAGCAATCCCACTGCTGGGTAGATACTGAAAGGAATGGAAATCATGATGTCGAAGGGATACCTACACTCTCATGCTTATCGCAGGTCTATTTACAATAGCCAAGAGATGGAACCACCTACCTAAATGTCCATCAATGGACGACTGGATAAGGAAAATGTGGTATATATATACAGAATACTACTCTGCCATAAAAAAGAGTGAAATTCTGCCATTTGCAGCAACATGGATGAAGTAAGAGAAAATTATGTTAAGTGAAATAAGCCAGGCACAGAAAGAGAAATACTATGTCCTCATTCATAAGTGAGAGCTAAATTAATAAAGATATGACGATTATAACAATTTGCTGAACTTTCAAAAGAAGAAAATAGAACTGAGGCCAGCAGAGGTGGGAAAGGAAGTTAGCGAGAAATTGGACATAAAAAATGATTACATCTTGTAATGTTGAATATACTAATTATCCTGAAAAAATAAAAATAAAAAACTTTTCTCACCATGAAGATAATATTAACCACTGAAACATTTCAAGAAAGGATTTGGAAATGGCTACAATAGATATTAGTGCTTGATTATATACTAAAATAGCAATATCCAGTTCTAAGTCAGTCAAGGAGAACCTAAAGCAGAAAGAAAAGAACTCCACCCCATTTAATTCATTTACCAATTCTTCCATTACTTTCTTTTAATTCAAATATACATATACAAAGAAACGTTTCCATCCTTTAATTTTTTAACATAATATACAGAACCACAATACTACAGCACTTCGATTTCAAATTGTGGGAGATTACATTCAAATATGCTTGGATTTGACAAACTGCTTTTTTACAATACTAAGAAATTTCATGAAAAAAGGTATTTAATGATTTTTAAGACAATCAAATCTTTTTGTTACGTGGGCCAATGCATTAATAGTAACCTGTTTAAAAATGTACTCTTTTGAACTTCAGATTATTATAAAGGAATATCAAGATTATAAAGATATACTTTCTGAATTTCACAAACTCATTTCATTTTGAAGGCTGATGGTAAATGTTATACATTAGAGCATTTCATGAGACCACTTCTCTTTGTACTTATCTAAAAAGTCAAAAACTAAATCACAATTTCCTAAAGACATTACTATTTCTAGAATACACTGATGTAATCATAAAAGCTACCAGAACTAAATTATCACTTTTATATCAACACTTTTTACCACAACACATCATCCTTCCTAAAAAAAGACGAACATACTGGGAATTTGGATTTCTCTTATTGAAATTAACATAACAGAATCTCATACTTTCTGGCTTTAATAAACTTCAACTGTTTTTCCAATAGGAACTATCTACACAGCATAGTGCTACATACAATTATTCCAATAAGCTGTATATTTATATTCACAATATGACCAACATAATAGGGCCATACAAAGTTTTTCTGCAGGTAAAAATGCTAAGAAAGGCCACAGTGGACAGTGGCAGACACTGTGAATACAGTAGATTACAGGTACCACTGAGGATCAGAGGAGACCACAAGTTTCAAATTTTTTTCAGCAATGAGTGAAAACAACATAAAAGTAAAAACAGAGAATCGTAAAGAGTAAAAATATGTAATTCCACTGTCAACAATGTAATTTTTCACATACTGTTTCTTTCATTTAATGGGCAAATTAGCTTAACGTAAAATCAGAGAACATGAACAAGATCACGATATGAAAGATTTTCCTTTTCTTCTCATCAAAGGAATGCACTGGGATTAGCGCGAGGATCTTTCTGGTTCCTGTATCTGTAGGTCAGCCAAACACCCAAGATCTGGAATGCAAGAAGATAAAAGAAGAAAAAGAAAGTAACATTTGCATATATTTGTTCAGTTCATCCATAAAATAGCTCTGGAACCTCTGAATCACTTGCATTTTTTGTTCTAAGGGGAGAGATTTCTTTTTCTTTTTGAAATGGAGTAAGTAAACCAAATGAGAGGCCCTAATAAAAACTAACACTGTGCTAGCTGAATGACTGCCCCCCAGGGATGTCCATGTCATAATCCCCAGAACCTGGGAATATGTTAGGTTACAGGGTAACAGGGATTTGGCAGGTGTGATTAAGTTAAAGATCTTGAGACAGATACCCAGAGGAATGGATGTCATCATGCCAAAGGGATACCTGCACTCCCATGTTTATTGCAGCTCTATTTACAATAGCCAAGAGTTGGAACCAGCCCAAATGTCCATCACCAGATGAGTGGATAAGGAAACTGTGGTATATCTACACAATGGAATACTACTCTGCTATAAAAAAGAATGAAATACTACCATTTGCAACAACATGCATGGACTTAAAGAAAATTATATTAAGTGAAACAAGTCAGACACAGAAAGAGAAATGCCACATGTTCTCACTTATGGGAGCTAAAAAATAAATAAATAAATAAACACACAAACAAATGTGGGGGGAGAAGACACAAAAATCACAACAATTCCTTGAACTTATCAAGACAAGTGAACAGATATGATGTGGGGGGGAGGGGAGAGAAGGAGGGGGGAAGGCGAATGGGTAAAGGGTCATGAAAATCAACTACAATGTATATTGAGAAGTTAAAATTAAAAAAAAGATCTTGAGACAGGGAGATTATCCAGGTGGACTCAATGATGTAATCATGGGATCGTGATAAGAGGGAGGCAGGAAGGACAAAGTCAGAGACATGAAGAGAAGACAGTGTAATGACAAAAGCAAAGAGAAGCAGAGTAAGAGGGAGAAGATGCCACCGCACTGGCTTTGAACATGGAAAAAGGGGCTACGAGCCAGGCTTCCAGAGGGAGCCTTTATTTTAAACTTTTGATCTCCAGAACTGTAAGACAATGAATTGGTGTTGTTTTAAGCAACTAAGTTTGTAGTAACTTATTACAGCAGCAATAGGAAACTAATACAAACACTGAATAGTCTAAATAGCTAAAATAACATATACTTTGATAATTCAGAAACTGAGTTAAGTAAAAATTAAGCAATAGCCAAAATCTTATAATAAATAAATTTTCCAACACTGGTCATAAAAAATGTTATAATTCCTACCTCTTAAGTAGGGAGGACCCTATTATTTCAGAAAAATGATTAAGTTGTTATTGAACCATTTCCCACACCAAGCTCATTAAATTGTTTACCAATATAGCTTTTCTAAAATTAAGAAATGTGTTTCTGCTATTTCAAAGTTGATTTATTATAAATCATCAAAACTTCTAACATTTTAGACCTAAAGGGATATAAAATTTTAATGGAACAAAATGAATTTCAAACCATATTTCCCACTTTACGTCTGCGTCAATATTTCATTTATTTGACTTCATAGCCACTCATTAGCCCAAAATAATTCTAGAGAATTTTGTAAGTCACACATTTTCTCCACGGACCACAATAATAATCCACAAATTACTATAAAATTCATGACTGGCAATGTTTATAGCTACAACATGTATGGGCTGATGGAACTATGGTTTGTGGGTTGAATCAGGAGAGGTAAGCCTAATTTGAAGAAGTGGAAAGTCTCCTTCGGAGTCTGTCTGAAAGGGGGTGGGGGGGCAAGAAATGTATTTATCAAACACACGAAGAATACTTTATGAAAGAAACCATGTGGCAAAATTCTGATAACTGCTGAATCTGGCTGATGAGTGTATAGGGATCCCTCATTCCAGTTTTTCTCTATTATATATTTTTTAAGTTTTCATATTTTTTATATTTTTGTACTTTATATTTTTTAAGTGTTACAAAGTTACATATCATGTAACTTATAACAACTAGATTTTAAATGTTTGGTGATATAATAAAAACTGTTGTGAATATAACATACATTAAATCAACCTTTGTAGCTAATGGCATGGAAGATGTTGACAAAAGTTCATGTTTTTTAAAGAAAAGAAAGGAGAAATGCACAAAATTATTTTCAAGCTATATATGAATTTTCTTGAATCAACGTCAAAACCAACCCACAAGTCAAATAGCTCTTTCCTGGAAAAAAGTGAAATGAAATAGTCAGAGAAGGAAGAACATTAGGGGAAACTTCTTTTAAAAAGTGAATATTAAGCTTGGTCTTTTCTCCCCCACTTTGTTAATAACATCTAAATGTGGATTTTTCATTCTTGAAGGCAAAAATTGAAACTAAATTAAAATATATGATAAATACACACACAAAATATCAAAAAGAGAAAGGCCTTTCTAAGCATAAAATCAAAGGGACAGACTATCCAGGGAAAAAAGTGATAGATGACTACATGAAAAGTAAAATCTCCTTTAAATTAAAAAAATAAGTCATAAAAAAGCTGGGTAAATGCCAAAGAAAAAAAGCAAATACACAGAAAAAAATAGTGAGGAATTAGTGAAAGGGGGGGAAAAAGGAAGGGGGGTAAAGAGGAGGGAAAGGAAATAGAGGGAAAGAAATAGGAAAGGGCAAAGCAAATACACAGAAAAAAATAGTGAGGAATTAGTGAAAGGGGGGGAAAAAGGAAGGGGGTAAAGAGGAGGGAAAGGAAATAGAGGGAAAGAAATAGGAAAGGGCTCAGCCTGGGTCACGAGGCCCAGCTTTGGGCTGTGGTTTTCACACTCATCCCACCCTCTGAGGCCACTCTGGTATTCTTATTAAAAGTCCCTGTTTTGGGGCTGGCCCGGTGGCGCACTGCTACAGTGCGCTTCTTGGGAGTGCAGCGGCACTCCCACCGAGGGTTCGGATCCCACATACAGACCGGTTCCCGCTCACTGGCTGAGCG